CCCTGCTTTAAGTGGTTCGCTGCTCCCACAGCTCACCACACTGTCTCTGCCTCTGCCGCCATCTTGGATCCCCTCAGTTGAGTCTTATAAGGAAAGTTTATAGAATACTTCTGGACCTCCAGAAGAAAAAACACTGATAATCCAATTACAAAATTATGTGGCCACATAGAAAATGGTCAAAAAACACAGAAAGAATTTTCACATATGAAGATATTAGAATGAAAAATAGACACATGACAAAATCCTCTCCATCACTGGCAATAAGGGAGCTGTAAATAAAAATCACAATGAGAAAGTTTCACAGGACAGGAAGTAATAAATGTTGGAGAAAATGTGGCAAAATAAGAACTCTTATGCATTGTTGGTGGAATTTTAAAATGGTGCAACCACTCTGGAAGGCATTTTGGCATTTCCACAAAAAGCTGCACATAGAAATTCCATATAACTCAGCTATTCGATTGCTTGGAATATACCCCAAGAAAATGAGACCTGAGGCTCAAATGGAGACTTGTACACCAATGTTCATAGCAGTATTATTCACCATCACAAGAACATGGAAACAGCCCAGATGTCCAACCACAAATTAATGGATCCAGAAATTGTAGTACATTCATACAATGGAATACTATGCAGCAAAGCAGGAGCAAGGATTTTGTAAATTACTCCCTAAGTTGGGAGGGACTGGAGAGCATTATGCTGAGTGAACTCACTCTGTCCCACAAGGACAAACACTGTATAATAAATACCATTATTGTAGAATAAGTATAAGGATCCAAGGGGAGGGGAAGGGTGGAAGCAGAGTGGTGATAAAGGGTGGGGGTTTGGGGTGTTAATGAGAGAGTTGTACAATTCAGTGGGGGGGTGAAAGAAATGGGAAGGATCTTGCATCAAAAACAATGTATTTGAACTTTATAAAGAAATCAATATAAAAATTTTAAAACAGATTTGTCAAATATACTAGTGTGAGCAACCTTTGAAGGAGATGCTGCATGCCACAGAATTTCAATATGCTCTGTTCTTTTTCTGGGTTTTGGCTACAACTTGAAACTTGTGAAAGGCCTATATTTCCAAGGCTCAGGAGACAGAGAAGTTGCTAAAAAGTGAGAAATTAAGTTTCAAAACAGAAAATGTAGTGTTTGGGAAGGAGAGACAGAGACCAGAGTAAAGAGAAGGGCCAAGGAAGTTGATGGAATAGAAATTCTTTCTTTCTCTTTTCATCTTGGAAGCTGGAAGTGTGTCCTTCTGAAGACCAGAGAAAAGTGTTAGATATCTTTGATTTTCCTAATTATTAGTTGTGGAAAAGCTGAAGCTAAACCAGTAGAGGGAAGGCACTTATTTCCATAGTTTCATTAAAAATGGTTTTTCCAAATAAAAAGTAAGCAATTAATTTAAATTTCTAATCAGTGAGTGACATGTTAGGATAGCAGAAGTTAATGGGTGGGAATGAGGAAGAAAGATTTAATGGGGATTTGAAAAGATGGATTGATAATAGGCATAGATTAATAGTAATTCTATAAAATTCAAAATATATGAAAAATTGTATAAAATATATGCATGAATAAAACACAATGCATATGAATAATTGTGTGCAAACAATAAAAAATTGAAAGAGAAAAAAGAAACTACAAAAAATATCTTTCTATTATGTGGTCAGTTAAGAACCTTGAGGCAGTCTATAGTGGAACTACATCAATATTCTAACCATATTAGGTTCCAGTCAGAAGCTTCAAAAACTAACAAAATATGCAAAAACATGTAGGTAGGACTGGAAGTGGAAAGGTAAAGTATATATATTAAGAAAGTTTGAGCTATGCACAACCTACCTAAACTAACAGAAACTGAAATTGAACATCTGAACAGACCCATTACAAAAGAAATTGAAAAGGTAATACAACAACTTCCGAGCAAAAAAAGCCCTGAATCAGATGGTTTTACTAGTGAATTTTATCAAACATTCAAAGAGGATTTGTCACCAATTCTACATAAACTATTTCAGGAAATAGAGAAAGATGGAATTCTCCCAGATTCATTCTATGAAGCAAACATATCCTTGATACTAAAGCCGGGAAAGGACACCACCAAAATAGAAAACTAAAGGCCAATACCTCTTAAGAACATAGATGCGAAAATTCTGAATAAAATACTGGCCAATAGAATTCAACGATACACCAAGGAAATAATTCACCATGACCAAGTGGGATTAATAACAGGCCTGTAAAGATGGTTTAACATAAGGAAAACAATCACTGTAATTCATTACATTAACAAAGCAAAGAAAAAGAACCACATGATCCTATCAATTGATGCAGAAAAGGCCTTTGACAAAATCCAACACTCTTTCCTGATGAAAACACTCAACAATATAGGATTAGAGGGGAATATCTTCAACATAGTAAAATGTACTTATGAAAACCCAAGAGCCAA